AAAAAAAAACATCTATTCTTGTTGCAAATTATTTTATTGAATGCGAACACACATGTACTTACTTAATATGTACATGCACTGTACACACTTTATGGGAAAATTTAAGTGCTTCTACAAAATCTTATAATTATATTGTTCAAGTATTTGCTATCATAATGTTAATCACATTATTTCTACCGCAAAGCAGTGTAAGTCGCAAATAGAAACAATTCTACTGAATAATGAATACATCATATATAGTAGTCTTACATTGTGAATATGAAACCTTAACAGTAAGTTCTTTAAAAGTTCACATATGTCTTTCTATGAAAGAATTATTAAAACAATCAGAATGAAGCCTTTTGATGTACCGTTAAAGAATCAATGTACATATATGTTTTCATTGGGTAAATTATTATAAATAGAAATAGTTATAATTGCAGTTTCAGATTATATTGTCATGTTAACTTCTCTTTAAGGAATAAATTTTACATAATTTATGCAAGTAATAACCTTTTGAAGGATGATGAAATATATACATTTATTCTATTGATATAATATGTATGCAGTCATTGAAAATAATTTATTATTGTTATATAAATTATATCAACCATTATGATACTTGAATGCAAGTATCAGACAATATTGATGTGCCATGTACATAATACAGCTTGTTAAATACCTGCTTATTTTCTTTTAGTATAGATTTTTATAAATATAGTGTTATTACTATTTATTTAGGAAACAGATTTCTTATATAAAGCGATTACTTAATACTATGTATACTTTAAGACTAAATTATATTTTTACATTGGCAATTAATATAAATTAGTTATTAGTTATAGTATTATATATTTTTTAGAATATTATACATGTCTGCAAAAGACAACACATTGCCTATGTGATAACAACGAGTAAGCTTATTTTTGAAAAGCAAATATGTTATCTGATAAAACTATTTAATAATTTACCTCAACTAATGTTATCTGCATATTAATTACATTGTATAGTAATTTGCTTTTTCAATTATAAGTTTTATATTTATAATAAATTCATTAAATCAAATTTCTTTAACAGAGATGATATAAATATAATTTTTAAAGGTAATTGGCCTTGTTCAACGCTTCCTAAAATATGATTCATTTTTCCTAATATTCTATTTTGTAGTAAACATTTTATATTATTATTAATACATGTATACATTTAAGTATTTAAATTGAAAAAAACTATGTACACTTATTCAATGAAAATAAAAGTAATGCTTTAAAAGAGTATTCTTATTTATTAATGAAATACGTTAATTTGTTGTTCATTGAAGATATAATTATTTCGTTCAAAAATTGATTACTTGAGAAAGTAATTATATATGCATTACGAATTTGTGTTTATTTCAGAGAAGGTGTGTGGACAGCAAGTTTTATAAACACGAACATTTTCCAGGTAATTAGTATTAAATGCGACCCCAAAAAAAATGTTTTCAAACAAATTTTGGAAATATCAAAATGATCAATATTTCAAAACTCGATCAGCGACGTTCTGCCAAATTATTTTACGAGTTCAAATATTGTTTTGACGTCAGCATAAAGTACAAAGGATAATTATAATTATAAAATAATCGTATAATAAAAAGGGTAAAATATTTGGTTTAATTACCTTTTTTATTTGTTTATTATCTAATTTAACACCTAATCTTACTTATTTGTCTACTGTGAATAAAAAATAGATAAAATAAAATTAAACGTAAAGCATACTATATACTTGAAGCTTCCACGTATACTATAATAAGAAGCGGCAAGATTGAAACAGAGACTTAAAAAAATTAATGTTTAAATATGCCATATTCTGAGAGTTATATTAAAAATAAATTAATCGAAGGATTGAACGCTTCACACGTGGTACGTATTTTATAATTTTTATTATGTATGCATACATATCTTACGCATTTTTTACATTGCATTTATTCTAACCTGGAATTCTCTATCATAAACGTAGGTTGCTAAAAGTTGATTTTAAAACACATTTATTAATTGCTATCAAGAGTATATTTGGATATAAATTACTTGGAAAGATTATCGACACATATTGTTTAAAATGCAAGGGAATAAACAGATTATGTTAATTTCCCTATTTGCACTCCTCTTAAGATGGTGTGTTACGTACCATTCATATAGTGGTGAAGGAAAACCTCCACTGTTTGGAGATTATGAAGCTCAACGACATTGGCAAGAGATAACATTTAATTTACCTGTTGAAAATTGGTATATTAATACTACGGACAATGATTTACAATATTGGGGATTAGACTATCCTCCCTTAACGGCTTATCATAGTTTTATATTGGGCTATGTTGCCGATAAGATTAATTTTTCATATATTTCATTATACGAATCAAGAGGGTTTTCTTCTGAAAGTCATAAATATTTTATGAGACTTAGTGTTTTATTAGCAGATATTTTAGTTTATTTACCAGCAATAATTTATTTCGCATGTACTAATCAAATATCAAACGCAGAAACAAAAGAAACTAATATATTTGGTTTTGATAGAAAGGATATTGTTATTCTAATAATGCTAATTTATCCAGGCTTAATATTAATAGATCATGGTCACTTTCAATATAATTGTATATCGTTAGGACTATTTATTGGTGCCGTTGCAACCATGCTTCGAAATTCATTTATTTTTGGATCATTTTTATTTGTAGCTGCTCTAAATTATAAACAAATGGAACTTTATCATGCATTACCAATATTTTTGTACATTCTCGGCAAACATTTATCTCTAAGAAAAGAATTTTCATTATCCAATATAGGAATGCTATTGTGCATATCATTTATAGTAATTTTTACATTTATTATTATGTGGTTACCTTATATAAAGAATTTAGAAACTTTCGCTTCTGTTATGATCCGATTATTTCCAGTTGCCAGAGGTATATTTGAAGATAAAGTAGCCAATGTTTGGTGTGCAATCAATATTCTTTATAAATTACGTAATACCTTTACAAATATACAATTAGCTAAAATTTGTTTGGTAATAACAACAGTTGCAATTCTACCAAGTTGTATAAATATATATCTACATCCAGAAAAAGAGAAATTCATCATTTCCCTTATCAATTGCGCACTATCATTTTTCCTTTTTTCATTTCAAGTTCATGAAAAGTCAATTTTGCTCGTTGCAATTCCAGTTTTATTACATTTTCAAAATGATCCATTTCCATGTTTTTGGTTTCTAATTATTTCACATTTCAGCATGTTACCTTTATTTATGAAAGACAATTTATATTCAGCTTATTGGATAACTTTAATCTTTTTTATCCTTATTACACTTTGGGTATATCCTGATATACTTAATTATAACAAACTATTGGCTAATAAAACTCCAAAACCAAATGTACAGAAACGGATTAAAACAAAACTATTAAGAAACAATAAAAGTAAATCAGTTTTCACAAGAATGAAAAAGGATGTAATATATTACTACAAAAATAATTTTATTATTGTATTAAAGTATGATCTTTTGCTAAATATGTTATTCTACAGTTCAATTATAGGAATAATAATGTTATCTATTGTTAGTGGTTTTCTGGAACCTCCAAAAAAATATCCAGATCTATTTCCATTATTAGTTTCTGTATATTCTTGTGGACATTTTATTGTATTCTATGTATATTTCAATTATAAACAATTATGTGTATAAAAAAATATATAAATCTGAAATAAATCAATTGAATAACTTATTTGCGTTAGTACCATATTTCTTTATTAAGGAAAAAAAGGTTACAAGAAAGAATTATTTGAATACAGTCCTATTTATATATTAGATCTATTTATTTTATTACAATAACACAGATAATATCAATAGTATTTATCTACACTAACATTTGCTAGATTATTCTACCTTTTTGTAAATTACATAATCTTCTATATGGATCTGAACTTTGCTCTGTTACTGAATATTACTTTGCTAAATTACCATAACAGTAACATTACTTATACACATTCAGTGCATGTCAGTAGGAAAATAAATGCTGTCTTGGAAATACCTTTAGCGATTAAGGAACAAACATTAACATTATGTTTCAATAAAATATAAGTTTTCTTTTAAACTAAAGAAAGTAATTTTATTGTAGTTTGTGAAATAGCATTAGATATATTAAATGACTTTTACTGTGCTCTAATTGTTACAGGAAGTGATAGATCAGTCTGATGGTTGTGGTGCCAAATTTTCTGTAGTAGTTGTTTCTGATGCATTTGAAGGCAAACCATTACTTCAACGTCACAGGTATTACATTTCTGTATATTTCATGGGTTAAAATAGGATTCTACATTTGATACTTCATATAAATATTTCTTATTTGTAATTCAGGTTGGTAAATGCATTGTTAGAAGAGGAACTTAAAACAATTCATGCATTTTCTCAAAAAACATTAACTCCAGAACAGTGGGAGAAACAGAAAAGTTAATTCCTTGTGGTTTATATGTATTAAAACATTTTTTTCTTAACAACTAATTATACTATATGAAAACAGGTAAAAATTTATACCATCTTACATAAAACTTATGTTAATGTACTACCACATTAATTTTCAAAACAATTTTTTCTTTATTAGCAGTGAAATAGAACTCTTGAAAATAACCAAATATGATTCAGTTCAAAGTTTCTGCGCCTGGAAAAGTTATTCTTTATGGAGAACATGCTGTAGTATATGGAAGAACTGCTATTGCAGCGAGTTTAGGTTTACGTACAATTGCAGATTTTTCTGAATTGCCAGAAATAGAACAACTGATTAAAATATGTTTTCCTAAAGTAAATTTATTTATAAACGTACCTTTGCAACAAGTACAAGATTTTCTGTTGACTAACAAAAATTTAAAGTGCACGGAAAATTATGAAGAATTTTATAATAAAATAAAAGAGTTTGTTGGTGCCATTGGATATTTTCATGTAAAACAAAAATTAAGCTTGGAAGTTCTATTTTATCTTCTTATTTACATTATACAAAACAATGAACTTAATATAAAAGCATTTCAAATTCAGTTAAACACAGAATTGTCAATTAGTTCTGGTTTAGGTAGTTCTGCTTCATTCGCAGTTTGTATTGCTGCTTGTTTTTTGCATTGGTCACACCTACAAAAAAATATTTCTAAAACATTTGATATTTCTGATTTAGAGATTATTTCAAAATATGCTCTAAGCAGTGAAAGAATTATGCATGGTACTCCATCTGGAATAGATAATTCTATCTGTACATATGGATCCATTATAGAATATAAAAAGGATAATTATATAAAAACTATAGGCGTTACACAAATTATGAAAATTTTACTGGTGGATACAAGAGTTAGCAGAAGCACAAAAGCATTAGTAGAAAAATTAGCAGAACTAAAATACATGTATCCTGTTATTATCGATTTAATCATGGATTCAATAGATCATATAGCAATTACGGCAATTAAGGTTATACAAAAAATTAACAATCCTGCGAATACCGATAATGAAACACTATTTGAAGGATACAGACAATTAATGGTAAGTATGTTATTTAATTTTAAAATGTTATTACCAATTATAAAAAGTGGTTTATGTTTCCAATACCTGTAAATGTATTCAGATCTTCTTATTGAATATCGTTATTCCAGACGCTCATTAACATGAATCAAGGACTATTAACTACGTGTCAGGTATCACATCCATCTTTAGATAGAATTTGTGCAGAAGCACAAAATTATGCTTTAGCAGCAAAACTGACTGGTGCCGGCGGTGGCGGATATGCGTATATTTTATTATTACCAGACACTCAACCGGAAACAATTGCAAGCATTTCACGAAAATTAATTGCAGATGGATTTCCTGTCACATTAACAACTTTAGGAGGTGCAGGTGTACAAATTCATAAATAATAACAAGTAAATCAATTTTATCGTATTTTCAACAGTAATGCTTAAAAGAATATTTGTACCATTTTTCTGTTTTATGTAAATTTTATTATTATGTGAATACAAATAAATATTATATACTACGCCATTATGTTTATGCTGTTTCTTGGTTAATTGCACTAACTAATTATTGTATTCTTATGTTACAATCTTTCAAATTAATACGTTGCCAAGATATGTAACATGAAAATTATTGAATAATAATTTATCATTTTCAACAATTACACAACATTAGATGTATTTTGTTGCATTGGTCGTGAATTTTCTCTTAATCTAAGATGATCTGATTCAGATATTCTATCCTCCCTAAAATTTTCATCTGCGTTATATACAGGATTTGATAAATACAATCCTTCAGCTTCTTTTGCTTCTTCAATCCATTCGTTAATTTCAGTTGTATACATTTTTCGTTGTAGTACTTCTCGCGTTCGAGGACGCGATCCAATAAAAACAGTGGTACCCTATGACAAACTTTTTGTGAATATAAAGTAACAAAGAGTATCTTTTTGATGTTTGTATAAACTTACGCCGACTACAAGGGAAGGTCTCAATTTTTCTAAAATTTGAAAATCTTCTATTATACATTGCAATTCATCCCATCTCAGTTCCACTTCTTCGTGGAGCATTTTTTCCTCTGTGAAAAGATACATATATAAAATAATGATCAATTTATACTTGACTCTCCATTTACGCGGCACTCTTTTATATCGTAAATTAGGACACTATTTACGCGGTAGTTTTTATGTACAATCTGAATTCAGTAATATCGAATAAAATGTAATTGTAACGGATTTTCACATAAATCGAGGGTCAAGTGTATACCGATATCTTATAAAAATGATAAATATAATTACCATCACGTTTAGATGTCGATTTCTTATAATGTATTCTAAATCGGAATGCTTCTAAGAAGCTGGAGACCACAATTGTTAATACAATCATTGTTACCAAATAAAATATCATAAAATATATTCTTGTATACATGCCAACAGTAAACGCGTATGCATTCATTAATATGAACCAGTTATTAATAACTGTTAATTCAAAAAGTGTCATTCCACTGGCTATTAGATTGTCAAAAGTATTTAGATAATAATATCCCAATGTAGTACTTTCATTAACAGAGTACTTGTAAAAGTCTTCAACTGTTGTATTCCTATTAACATAGATATATTATGTAACATATAATATAAATTCGATGTATTTGTTATTATATTTACACTCACTTGCAACAATTCCGCATATTGTAGCCAGCGAATAGTTCCATTCCGATAATAGCAAAAAAGTAGTATAAAACGAGCATGACCACAGCAGTAGAAGACATTAAAGGAGTTAAAATAACAAGTGTGCCAAACACATCTCTGTATCTTTTTTTCATTTTAAATAATCTTAAAAGTCTAAGTGGTCTGAATAAAACAAAGAATGTGGCTGATGGGAAAAGACGTAAAATACAAGCAGCAATAAGTGTCATTACAGACGTGCTTAAATCAAAAAGATTCCATCCAGAGCTTAGGTACCATCTTGTACCAAGACCTAGTACTTTAATGAGTGCTTCAGCTACGAATACTGCAATAAAAAAGAATATTTTAATTATTGTATGTTTACGTATTTGCAAGAAGTGGTTCTTTGTACGTTTATATGAACAATGCATTTCATTAAAAGTATAATGTTTCATGAGTAAATTTTATAAAAGAAATTTCACGGTTTATCCTTTATACAGCAAAATTTCTGAAATGTAAAATAACATTTTCTTCTATTATACACTATTAATTAAGAGGACTGAAACATCTTTTTACTTACAAATATTAAGGTACATTAATAGCTAAATTAAATTTATAATTTAGAAATAAAAAATTTGTTTAAGTATTTAGAAGCAAGTTAATGGTGTATATGTGACATGTACCAGTGATCATAAAAAATTACATAAAACTTTTTAAGAGAATAGAAGTCTGTAAACTGAAGAATTTATAATTCTCGTATATACAACTTTTGAAATTATAAAACTTTTTAATTTTATTTAAAAGAAAATATTTTTCTAATATTTGGGATAGTAAAGATATTTTTACTTACTTCCTCCAAAAAGGAAGGTATCCCATGATGCTGCAAATAGATGTGCACTGTAAAGAATATCACCCCCTTGTAGAATTCTTATTATCATTGCTATGCCATTTGCAACGATTGTTATGTCTGAAAGTTATACATAATTCTCACTAAATACGGGAAGGTATATGTTAACACGTTCGTGGAAGTGAATGATATAGCATTCATTTTCATTGTGATGTAAAATGATATAAATTTAAATATTATAGTATTCATAAAACACATTATTATACATTTAATTCTATACAGCCTTAATTTAAAAAATTCAAAATTTAAATATCACAATTAATTTACAAATAAATCGCCTGTCTATTTTTGCAGCTCATTAAAATTTTTACTATTCGCGAACGTGTTAATTACATATCTTTTTACTTCGTGAACTTACACATCACAGTTTCAAAGTAGCTCCATCTGATAGCAGCATGAGCTCCATTGCAGAGGATTTGTAAGGGTTGAGATGCACCGTGATACCAAGGTACACTGGAATATTGTGGTTCCCACTGAAGTGTTATTGTGTCATAAATATTTAAAAATTCTTGAGAACTTAATACCCCAGTTCCAGAGGCATTTAGATGGCGAAAAATTAAAACAATGTCTCTTATACCTATAAATAATTTTGTATAAAACACAAAGTCTATTTTACTTAACATATTTTATAATATATTCATGTATACTTTTATTTGGAGCGTAGTATCGCATTAACCCTTCGAACTGACGAAATCGCATTTTATCAGGACTCTGTTTTGAGACTAATAACTTAAAGGCATGCTGGCATGCTTTTCTTTTATGCAAAAATAACTTTTTAAATTTATCTCTTTCGGCAGCTGTAAATGTTTCATTTACTACTGCCAACATTAAGTTCATCATCACATATAACATTGTTGACAAATAAGAGACAAAGTATATTGCATACCACTTATTTTTTGAATATGATGGCATCATTACATCTGGAAAACTAAACAGTGAAATCATTACTGAAAAAGAAATATTTTCATTATAAATATGCAATTATCTTCCATTGTGCTCATTTAAAGGTACTTACTTAGCAGTGGTGAGAAGAACAAAAAGACTTACAAAACTATCTTGCAGTGTACAAAAATATCTGTTCATTTCAGAAAACATATAATAACCCAATACTGTGTAAAGTGTAATGAAAAATAAAAGCAGACCTAACATATCCAATATAGGAGGTAACGTCTGAAGTATTTGTCTTATAAATCTTCGTACACCTCCAAAGCATTTTGTATCTATTAAAAAGATAGGCCTTAAAGCACGTGTTACTCGAAAGTGTGATGACTGTCTCACTAAAACTGTCATTGCTTCTAAAAACATTATAACCAATGTAATACACTGCAACAAAAATTTAATGTAATTTGATTGACCTAATTGTTAATGACTTATTATTTTATTATTATAAATTTTTAATGTATTACACTTCTCTGATAAATGAACACATTATACAGAGTAATAATTCATTAACTTCATGATCTTAATACTTTAATAAAGATAGTAAGATTAATAACATATTTTTTAAATTATATTAATTTAAATTTTTTATATACAGAATGTACCATTTGCACTTTAATTTGTATCATTAAAAATAATGAAAATATTTTTACTAATCATTAAACCGTTAATTAAGTTGTCTTATATGCAACACAGTGAAAGAAAACAAACATCTTAATTATCAGAGACTTATTTTGTTAAAAATGTAAACTGAAACAGTCTGTAGTTGCTGGCTTATCTTCTTGTTACTACTCTTATATACTTTGTATCAGTGCAATGGAAAAGAACCGTATACTATATGTTACTTTCACAGACAAAGAAATTGAAGTAAATTGCTATCCAACTGTACAATGAAGTTTATTTTGCTCCTTTGTTATCAAGAAATATAAAACACTTTATGAAAAATGAAGAAAAATGAAATCATATTTTTACCTTTAACATTGTTCTTTTATGCTTCAACATAGTTGCCCAGCCAATCCATCTTAATTTTAATGTTAATTCAATGCCTATAATCATTAAAGCAAAAAGTTCTATTGACCCATGTGCCCACACTGGTATCTAAAATAAAATACAGGAACTACAGAGATAATATAACAAAAGGAAACTATTGTTTCAGTGAATAACTTACTCTAAATAATGGTACAGCTGGATCTTCCACAAGAGCTAAAGCTAAAAGTATAAGTGAAGTTAACAAATCTAATCCATAGTACCAATTATTGTGAACTAGTAAATAAGCTGGTAAATCTTCAGGATGCCTTGGATGCGATTCAAATTTTTCATTGTTTCTACCTTCCTATAAAAACAATTTCATTGAAATAATTATTATGATATAAGTGCTATAGTAAGTTCTGTTAATAAATAACAATATAATAAGTATTGACACCTCTAAAAAAATTGCAGCCTTATGATAATTCATTTCCCAATACAAATCATGATCTGAAAGGGAATCGTGTAAAGGAAGTATAGCATTATTAGTCATGGTGTCTCTTTCTATTTCATCAGTATCAAATTGTTGTGGCAACTGATTGGTTTCGCTATTGCTTCCTGGTGAATTTATATGCTTCCCTGGGAAAGAATACGATAACATTGATCCATATTCTAAAATGAAAATAAAAAATAAAATAACTAAGCAATAAGATTGCATATGCATAGATTCCACAAAATATGATATATTGTGGAACCACCTAATTACAATATAAAATAACAAAAGAATGTATTTCATAAATAAAACAATTAGGTGTTATTGTAAAGTTCTAACAACAGTTTTTATATTATGTTAATACCTATATAATTATGCATATTCAAAAGAGAAATAAGAGATAATTACTTATAAAAACTTAATACTTAAGTCAATGTATGCTATATTTAACATAAACAAATAGATAATATGATAGATGTTCACTAATGCTCATGCTTTTAGTTATAAACTGTTAATTACCGAAAGAATGAATTTGATCCGTTTTAATCAAATACATTTAACTTACTTTGACATGATTGTTGGGAAATCTCTTGTTCAAAAGTTGTATTAGCATCATCGTTAAAACGTTGATAATTGTCTGAGTACTTAGAAGTTTTCGGGGAAGACATTTGAGACTGGTGTGTCACATGTCACATGCACTCAGCACGCAAACGTTTGTTAATGAATACTTATTTACACTAGTCGAACGGCTACGTAACGTCGTCACTGTTCAGAAACTGAACACCAACTGGATTAAATGAAAAAAATCGAGTCGTGATGCATGCATATTCTCCTATGACAGATATTACATATTATAATGTCATAATACTAAAATGATGTTATTCGATTCTCTCGTGTTTGACGTTTCAGTACTTGATACGCAAGCGCGTTTATACGAAGCGGATTTATCCACCTCACCGTCAGTGTCGCAAGGCTACGGTATTCGAGAGAATTTAATCATTTTCCCCTCCTTTCTTTGTGATGTAACAAACGCAACCAAGCGTTATCTATTGTTTAGTGGGCCATCATATTTCCAGGGGCTAAGTAGCCTATTCTTAAAGTTTCCAAAAAGTTCAAATTTTTAAATGTAAACCAATCCATTTTTTTATCTTTAAATGAAATGTCCTGCTGTTTTATACATGTATTTACGTACTTTACATCATTCTAAAGACCTTTGATAGATTCCTATTATATTATATTCTGAACTTTTGTAGCAGAACTCAATAGTAGTATTAAATACGTACTCTTTTCTTGTTGAGTATTATTTGGTTCTTCAAGAATGTTATCTTTTAAAGATTATTATGGGTTTTCCTATCTTTCTGTATTTCAATTTTATACGTCATTAAAATGTATTATTCCTTTATCATAGATGATTATAGTGTCGAAGTAACTTTCATGAAATTGTTTAAAAAATCAAAATGCTATATGAAAAATTGTCTGATACCATTGAGGCACAAAACTGTAAACTGTAAATTTAAAAAAAGTACAATTTTTAGTTTGTTTTGTACAAATTAATAGAATTCTGCATTCCTTCGTTGTTAATCGAAATTTAAACATGACGCCACTTGTGGATTACATATTTGTTATGTTAATCCTCAGACATGAAATGCTTAAGCAGCGACGCAGTAAACAAGGGCATGGCCGTTACGATCCGCAATGAAATGTTTATCGTACGCACATTTTAGGGAGGTATTGTATAGAAAATTTTATTTACACTTATCGTTGTATGTATTATATTTAGATATGTAACTGTATAAATAAATAAAAAGATAACTAAATGAACGAATAAATAAATAAGTTAATATGTAAACACTATTACAACTACTGCTTCCTTAAAATAACCTTGCTTTATTATTCCATGACTATATAAGATAGAATGAAGATTTATTCATCAAAGTAACAGAAAAATACAATATTTTCCGTTATTTTCTTGTAAAATTTTTCACAATTTTAACACGACATCAACTAATCTTAGAGATTACAACAAGATCGCAAAATAAAAGTTAAAATTATATAAATACTTAACAAATTTTTAAAACGGAGAACCAATTTTGTTGAATTTTAATAAAATTGTAGAATTCTCGGTATTACATTTAACGTGATAAGGCATAAACTTAAGAAAATATTGTGCATATTTATAAAATAGCGGTATTATTAGCTGAAAAGAAACCAATTTTATCTTGATGTAAACGCGATGATGTATTATATTTATACATTTTTTGTCTACGTTTTACTTTTATTTTCGTTTAATTTATATTACAATTTTAGGCATATGTTATATATTATAGTATGTATATACAAGTAAGTATATATGCTTTTCAATAGATGTGTATTAATGTATTTTACATATTTTCATTACATTAATTCAATATTGTTGTACTTAATCACTATTTTAATTTATGCAACTCTTAATACACGAACGTCTGTGTATACTTACGTATATGTACGTAAGTGTATACTTATATACCGCAAGTGTTGAGAAACAAAACAAATGTATATTTGCGATTATTGACAACGGTCGTTGATCCGAACTCTTAGCATCATCGGCAATAATTGTTATGTCGCGATTGTTTACTTTTTTAATCTTTTAATATAACCAGAAAATGTAAATAGATTAATTTGTACCAAAACAGATTAATTGATTAACTTTTTAAAAAGAATTTCGTTTCTTATTTAACAACTTTTATTTTGTTAATTGAATGTTTATATATTTGAAATTTGAAATAACCCAACATATATAAATGTAATTATTTATTGACATAGTTTAAAATCCATATTTTGATTTCAAGTGCAATGCATTATTCAAAGTATCATAATCTTTGTCATTTGATACAAATCTAACACTCTCCAGATATAATATTATATTTTTTAAATTCTATAACACTGGTAGAATATATTTCGTCGGTGGTATTGTTTAAGAAATTCAAATGTATGATTACATACTGTATACAAATCTATTTATTTGTTATAATATTTAATAGCGTTATCCGTTTTATAAATTGTAAATAAATTACTAAAGTTAAGTTCTGTTATTAAAGTATAATGTAAAGATACACCTGACCCTCGATTTACGTGGACTTTTTTCACGCGAGCCTCTTTTGTACGTGGTGAATTGGAACACTACGCGTAGTTTTTACGCGCGATCTCAATTTACGCGATCTGAATTTAGTAACAGCGAATAATATATACTTTTGTTTTCTAAAACGTCATTATTATTATTTTTTTTGTTAAGCTATGTGAAATAAATATGTGTTTCTAAAACTTATACCATCTTTTCTCTTCAATATTTTGTTTTCTCTTGTACCGACAGGCTCTATTTACGCGATTTTCGTTCGCGTAAAACGAACCCACGTGGAACGGATTTTCGCGTAAATCGGGGGTCAGATGTATATATGTATCATAATAGTTTCTATTGTACACCGGATGTGTCGAACTATGTAGGGACTTACAAGCCATCGAGGCTCTTGCCTCTCATGACGTGACGGCGAGAGTTACCCTCTCCATACCCACTTTCCCCTCCTGTTTTGGTTTTCTATGAACGCCACCTACCAGCAAAGTTAGTCATCACTACAAATAAACACGTGCAGAATTTTCTTGTTTAATTTTCAAGTGTGTAGTGCATACTAATGTAAAGCTGTTTATGGTAGGAGTGTCCGGTAACTGAGACTGAGACTCGATTAGCTTCTAAAGTAGAAGTAATAGGGTTCTGTTGATGAATGTTACTAGTTTAAGAGGCTATTTAACAATCCTGATATATACACTATATTATTTGGGGATTAAAGATACCTTCTATGCTTAACTTCAGAAGACTCAAATATTCACATTCTTTTATAACTAATTTCTCTAAAGAATTGTCTAATTGATGAGTGGTCACTTTTTCAAATATAAGTATTTATTATAATGGATATTAATAAAGACTGATATTTCATTCATTTCGTGCACTGTTAATCTATTCCGTTCGTAAGTTAAAAATATTTCAGCCTTGTATTGATTCGTTGATGAATCTTTCTTTATCGATTTTAGATGATCATTGATGGAAGTGTGTAGAAATAGAAATACGGGAATTCTATTCACAAACTAAGTTTTAGCAATGAATATTTAATTTAAATTTTACTTTTGTAGTATTGGTAACACTGTAGGAAATTATAGTGCCATTTACTCTAGTTTTTGCGGTCTCGTAACATACGTATAAAAATACTTCGAACTGTGTATAAATATTTTATTACATATATAACACGATAAAAATAATTTTTTAATTAAAATTAAATTCATTAACTCTATATATTTTTTACATATAGTTCTCTACAATATTACGGTTTAAATGTTATCATGCTTTCAATCATTATCGATTCTTCACATACAGTCTCTCCTTTTCTTATCTAATAGCTGATAATAAGTAATAGTAATAGTAATATTTCAATAGGAGTGACGTTTCTATAAGACTATTCTGTCCTTGGACTCTCAATTTGAGATCAATATCGATAGGATATTCGACATATCGTTGTAACAGCTACCATTTTGATTCACTGTTAACTTCAGTATGTTTAGTATCGTTAACGAAGATACGCTTGATCTCATTTTCTGTTTTCTATAAGGCAAAGAAAATGACACGGAAACGTAAATTATCAAATGTGAAGGAGAGATGTCGAATCTGCCTCGTTGATCACGGTTGTATGAGTGATCTCTTTGATGAAGTTTTACGACCGAAACTGAATGATTTAACCAAGTGTACTTCTATTGATGTATGTTGTTTACATTATCTTTTTTCTATAATTTACATTAGTAGTTGCATCTTTCTTTTTTCTATATCATTGTGTAATCTTTTTTTTTTAGATTAAAAACGAAGATGGGCTGCCAAACACTCTGTGCCATGTATGTTTATACAAACTGGATTTGTGGAATGAATTCAAAGACCAGTTTATATGGTCAAATAAAGTGTTATTAAATCATTTGGATTCTGCAGAAACCTGTGACAATGTGGTATGCTATAATTAATGAATATAAAAATGTAATATTTCTATAATGAATTTAATTTAAGAGTAGTTTCAAGAGTTTAATGTATGTTTTCTAAATAAAATTTAAATGCACGTTTTTTCATATTAGAACGCAAAATCAGAAGTGACCAATGAAGATTTACTACAAAGTGGACAAGATAGTCTTTCTGATACTTTTGAAAAGGTATTATCAATATTGTTAAAATATGAAGCAATTTTTCTACTTTTTACAATATAAATATTTTTATATTTATCTTAATATTTAACAGTAAGCATATTAAAAGAACTGCTTTAGATTTAATTTTACTGATTTAGTTTCTACTTTACGATTTTATTTCATGGAACTGTTGTTTTTAGAAGAAACCAAAGACTGAAGTACCGCCACTCATACCTCTGGAATTTACAAATGCAGACTCTATAAAGGATGAAACAAAATTGAAAGAAATATATGTATCTGATGATGATGTTACTTCTTCCAAGGATTCTTCACAAAAACATCACGAAGCTTCTAACGATGATAAATCTAAGAATGAAGAGGAGCTTGTAGATAATGATAAAGTAAAATCAACATTAGGCTCAATGAAGGGAAAAATGTTAACTGGGAAACGTAGTAGGACAATAGAACAGAGGAAAGCATCAACCAAAAGATGGGTTGCTAGAAAAAGAGCGCTATTAGCAGCTACAGGAGAAAGTGTTTCCGATACAGATTCCATGGGATCAGATGATACTCAATTGTCACCAGTTCAAAAAGCACTAGCAAAAACAATTAGGGATAAAGAAAGTGAGAAACAAAAAAAAATGAATATAGCTTTGAAACAGTTAGAAACTAATACGTCAGATAAATATGGCATTGAACATGACATCAATGATTTTATTTGTCTAGATACAGATTCTGACACCCGAAGAACAAAGTCACTGAAAGATGTAAATTCTGATGTATCATTAACTGGAAGTAAAAACACTTCTGTAAAAGACTCTCCCGAGCAAGACGAAATAAAGAAAAATAAGCATGCCGAAAAAGATGAAAATGAAAAAGAAAATTCCTTATTATCATTATTAGAAAATTCTGTAGCAGAAACATCACCTAAGAAAAGTGACATTGACATTGTAGAAGGTACATTTACTCCATGTTCAGTAAAATCTGAATTAGAAGTTGGTGATGCTACATACATAGTTACTTCCACTTTGATGCTTGCAGAACCATTAAGTAAATTGAGCTTAAACAGTTTATCGAAAGGGCAGAAAGATGATAATACTGAACAAAATTCTCAAGAAAAGAATACTGATATTATTGATGCTGTACAGCTTCGTAGAATAAATCCAGTTCCAACTGATTCTACAGATAAGAAATGTATTGAAAGATGTCTAAATATAGAAGTGGAAGGAACAGAAATAGAATCTTTAAAACGTGTACAAGTTGAAATAGCAGGTTTTGTAGAGAAAGAAATGAAACATAGATTATTTGAAGTAAGTGATAATACAAAGGAAGATGAAAGGGGAAATAGCGGTAAGAATTCATATCAAACCTTAGATCAACAACTTAAGAATATAATAGAAAAAACTATAAAGAAAAATTTTGAGTCTTCTATGATGAGGAGTTGTGGGTCAGGGTTTAATACATATAATATGAAATCCGGAAGAGTTTCTCCTACGTCTATAAAGGAAGCGGAAAATTCGAAAAAATATCAACCGAAAGTTATGCTAAAGCGATTAGATATAACCAAAGAAAATAAACATCGAAGTATTAATAATATTCATGTTATTACTAAGCGCACTGTTAAGAATAAACTTGGCGGGCCGTTTAGTATGGTTTCTCATAAACGACAAAGCGTGTTACCAATAAAATATAATGATTATAATACTTCTGCTTTAGATTCTGATTCCAATTTGTCAGACGAAATAGAAATATGTGAAGCATCTAAGACAGAAAATGATTACAATGTTCATAAATCACAAGAAATTGTAAAAAGACAAGTTATTAATACAGTAAAACAAGATGAAGAACTTAAAGTGGATACTAATAGTGCAATAATTGAATCTGTTATGAAACCTGAATTGAAAGTAGAAAATCAAGAAAATGATTTTAAAATAAATTCATCCGTTGATGAAAAACTTATTTGTGGTGTATGTGAACAGACATTTAGTAGTCGTAGTGAAGTTGCAGCTCATGTTCGTATGCATAAAACAGAATCTCCTGCTGCAACACGACACAATAAACATAAAATGATGAGATGTAAACGATGCCATGAAATAGTTGAAGCTAGATTTGTAAAAGCTCACGTCTGTAAATCTATAAAACAACAAACTCACAAGTGTTATGTATGTAACTCTACATTCCGAACTGAAAAGCAACTTGTACGTCATTTAGAAAGTCATGATCAATCGGAATTCAATATAGAAAACATAACAAAAGGGGAAAATCAAAAGTCAACTCATATGAATTCCTCAAAAACTACTAAAGACATAGTATATTTGAAATCTGAGAAATCTCAATTTTCAAAGGCAGACAATAATATATTTGTAAAATCAGACAATTCGATAGTTGAAAGAGGCAATGTTCAATTAGTAGCTAAAGGGCTAAAAGGAGACAACACGCAAGAATTATTAAAACCGAAGGAAACATATACTTGTTTCGTATGCGATAAAATATTTACAGATGAAGAAATATTGAAAGATCATTTACAAAAGCACTGTGACGACATGAGCGAAGATGATCAGAGCACTGGCAAAGAACAATATCAGTGTGCAATTTGCGGTGATTCTCTAGATTCCGAAGATGCACTTGAAGCTCATGTTGAAAAACATTTATTTGATGAAGAAGATGATAATCCTAATCTCATTAATATTGCTAATGAAACTGAAAAAACTGGCGATGATCCTTATCATTGTTTACAATGTACAGAATCATTTAATTCAGAAATGTTACTAGAAATGCATATGCAGGCTCATGAAGAAGAAGCTGCAATAGCAGAATGGGAGAAACAGGGAATAAAAGCATACGAGTATCAATGTATGATTTGTGACGAACTCTTTGAAACTGAAGAGGAGTTATCTGAACATTTAGATATACATAATGGAAACGCGTATGTTTGTCAGTTATGTGAGAAACCATTTTCAAGTCTAGAAGACTTACAAAAACATGTTGCAACACATTGATATATGTTAGTGATCATTGTTACACTCTTTTAAAACATTCAGACTGCGAGTTACATAAAATGCTTTATACATATATATATATTAATATAAATGATCACCCTGTATATATAATACTTAATAACTATATAATAAGAAGTTGAAATGGCTTGAAGTAAACGATTTGTTACATATACTTTTTATTTTATTTCAAAATAACCTACAAAGGTAGATATACTTCAAGGTTTAATGTAATTAAATACAAATTCTTTGTATTAACGTTTAAAAACGTAATTTTAATATATAAATATATGAATATATCTGTTTCATAATATGTTAAGTTTTAAATGTTTTCAATATGAATAAGAAATCTACAGATGCAGTGTCGTAATTAACTTCTCTAATTTTTGTTTTGAGGAAAATTTTTTGAACATTATAATTTATGGTACTTATGCTTACCTTGAAACTCTGTAACAGCTATAAGGAACATTTCCATGAATCTCCATATGCACATGTTAATGAATTAATATTTTAATATATATATGCATGAAAACATATACATTTTATGTAGATGTAATAATAATTATTATTAAAGCACAGTTTTATTTCCAATAAATACTAACTATTTATACAGAAATAAAGTACAGTTTTATTTTCAACAAATATGAAGTGTAATATAAAATCTACGCGATGAAATGTTCATGTAGAACGGATTAGAAATAGGATTAGAAATAGAATCTCTGATAAAAGAAACACTCATGTATAAAGTGTAACATATTTTGTCGATTGAAATTTAACGTGTACATTAATGAGTATGTAAATATAATGTTTTTATATGAAATAATGTTATACACAAATTATTTTTTCTTCAACAATTTCACATTATACCCCACGTTAAATACTTATTTCCGCAATTAAATAATGCATAAACAACTCAATACTTCATGAAATTCATTGACGCATCATTGACAGTTAATCAAAAAAGTCGCTTGTATTATGAACTGTATAATATTTCATACATATTTTACTTATTAAGCTATACATAATAAATTTTATACACAAACTAGATTCTATTTAACAACATCATGGAATCGCGAACACTCTTTACAGAAAACAATTTGGAGGACTAATGATGTAAACAATTACAAAAATCAGTCGCTGGTTGAATTGTAAATCTTATTATATTCTACTATATATTTACATAAATATTGTGTACAGTGACACTTGTTACTTGTGACGAATAACTAGCATTTTATCACTATCCATTATTATTAACTTGACTGTAAGTCAACTTCTGTGAGCGCTTCGCGAAATCAAAGTATATAAATAACAACTGACTTTATTAAAGCTGACTCTAATTGATTTGTATTCATCTTGTTACATGGAAAACTATAAATGCTTCCTTTTTGAACCATTTACATCTACAGTTCGTTTGGTTTTGTGATTACTTTGCAATGTCGTTTACATTAACATATCTTGTGTGTCTACTCTAAATGTATTCTGAAAGTATGCAGTAGTGAAGGTACATCGATTTATAGTGAATATTTAACTCAATATTAAGTAATTCATACTATGAATGAAGATTAATGCATTCAATACATTTTGTATTTTCATTTTCACATCTTAGGTCCTGTCACGTTTACTAGGAAGAGTAGTATTTATATGAAATATTTTCAAAAGCTGTATTTAATTTTGTATAAAGTTTCGTTAAATTAAAAAGGTATTACAACTCTATTTGTAAACAATAATTGAATATTTCTTTGACAAAAGAAAATTATGTACAAGACAACCAATTATGTAAATTCGCCATTAGAATTTGGTAGAAAATACATATTTAATATCATTACAATATTATAATACTTTATAACTGAAATCTATGCTTTTAGAAGTCAATAATTTGTTATGATTTTTTATAAACATTAAAGCTGCGATGCTTAATCGATAAAAAAACGGTTTGGACAATTTTGGGTCCCAAATTTATTTACTTGGTACATTTGATGTACGTATTTTTTAAGTTTTCCATTTTTATGCCAATGCACTTCAAATATCATAAAATCTTAACACTGTTAAACAATTGCAACTTTGCATACCATTATACTCTTAGATCTATTATATACAATGATATCATTCAGACAGAATAAGTTTTAGTAGTATTCATTTGAATAACAATAAATTAAATATACTTCTCGCCGTGTTTGCCGAAATGTTTAATAGCAACAATGGTAATGAGTCAGAAAATGTATAATTGTACATTATCTCGAAACTCTAAACTTAATATACCTGTGGCATATGCATTATCCATCTTATTGTCTAGTGATAACTATATAGATGGATGCAAATAACCCTACCTACCTATAGAAAACTATTATCTGTCAGGATAAAAGTTTCATTTTAAGTGCTATTTGCAATGAGCTACTTTGATTTCAGAAAAAGAACCAAAGTGGTTGCACACAATTTCATTATTCTTGACGTCTGTTGTTACATTTTCAATCATTAAACTTGCATCATTTACTTGGTATATCGAACTTTAATATTCGTTATCTTTAACGGTCATTTTATATCACACAAAATGAATGTTCTTTAATATAGTCTTGTGTAACTCTTACCTAACGACATTTACAAATTTTAATGAGGGTGTTATTTCACAGAGAAATAAACAATAAAATAAAAATTTCGTTTTCCTTTTCGTACACTTCACATGTTAAATAACTAACAGTGTTCATGAAATTTGGCTTCACATACTAATTTACTGAGACACAAGGTCTACATAGTTTGCAGGATACAAACCTACTCTTCCATCTTTTCTTCCTTTACACCATCCTTGTTCATCTTCGTCTTCTAGTTTTTCAAATATATCACCTATGAAAGTACAAAAAGTTTTATCAGTTAATTTGTAGGTTTTATCTTCGATGATTTCACATAATCACTAATTATTCTAAAAAGATTTAGCCAGAAATTCCATATATATGGAATGGTGTTTGGTTGGTATTCGCATTCTTATTCTTACAAATTTTTAACATCGGTGTCACCACATGAAATACATTTTTTTCCATATGTTACCAGTATTCAATACTTTTTATCCTACTTTTTAAGCATAGATGTAGGAAAAAGTAGGCAGTAATTTTTCAGAATATGTTCCTTAATAGTATTCCCATAGGTCACACCATTACGTATGATGGAATATATAGCATTAATAAAAATAAATAAAAAAACCGGATAATAATAATATTAAGTACCTTGTTTAAAGCTAAGCTCGTCTGCTTCTGCTCCTTCATAGTCGTATAACGCACGCACAGGAACACCTGGTTCTCCGTTGTCTACTAATGGTTCACCACCATCTTCATCCCATTCCTCTTCTTCAAATGGATTTGTTTCTTGTTTAGCATTTGTACCATTACTGAAAAAAGGCATTTAATAATTACATTAAATTAATAACATATATATGCAAATATTTGCTTTTTATTAATAGTGTTGTTCCCTCATTATCATTAAAAAGTTGTAATTCACGAACAGTTGAATGCAAAAGGTATCGTTAAGGGAATACTTAAAAACCACTCAAAGAATTCACTGTTTGTTGCACTAATAGTAACGGAAAGATTTGAAAAGATATCTAATCTGTACCGGATTAATTTTTATGTAACTCAGTGATTAATTTTTTACGACAGTGAACTGTATACATTTGTATGCCCCTTCCTTCCTGTTATTTATTTTATGGAGCAAAATACACAAAATGAAAAAAATGTAATATTAAATCATTTGATTGGATTGCATTATTGTTATTGCATATTCATCGAGCATATTCATATATTATTTATAATATAAAAATGTTTTCAGATAATCATCGTTTCATTGAGTGAACTATAGTAATTCGATTTGGTTGGGGGTTACCGGTATCCCCCATGACATTTAACGTGTTAATAACGAAGATTCAAAAGTAAAACATGTCTATTAACGCGTTCACGCCGGCGTGTATCACCAGTAGCTCACACTAAGATATCACATTAGACGTTGTGTACCATTGATGGCTCATATTTTGATGTCACATTAGACGGCGCGTACCATTAAATATGTGGTTCGTTACACTGGTTTGGTAAATAGAAAAAATTTCCATATAGTTGAAAATTAATTTACTTTATTGATAATATCAATATTTTCGAAAATTTTGAGAATTTAGCCGCCAGATGGAAAAGAATGCGAGTTACAGTGTCGGTGTGAATGTGTTAAATAACGTTTAATACTCACGTAATCGTAGACGTTCTGTTTACAGTATTGCCATCATGGTTATTTTTTTCTGTAGAATGTTTGCTGGAACTAATTGTGTCGGTTTTGCTATCTCCGTGACTTCCATCTGTTGATATTACTCGGGAACTGGGCTTTGATTTGGATTTATTGTTAACTGGTGGGAATTCCTACACGGAGAAAACATAACGATTAACAACGCGAATTAATTGTGCAATCAAGTACACTTCTCGTAAGTTTGACACTTATGTACTTGTAATTTTATGCAGTGTATCGTGAAGTCCCTAATGGCACTTTAAATCATGCATGCAACCAAAGTATGCGTGACGACTTGAATTTTTATTTACAATCACTGTCTGACGAATGTATTAAGCGGATGTGAATGATTTTTTTACGTTCATGAATTTCAGCTGCATTCGTTTGTTATTTTTAAGCTTAAGACAAAAATTGCATTTATATGGTTCCACATTTCTAGTTAATTTCTATGTTTAAACAATATGTCGTAATTCCAAAAGTAAAGAAGTGGCGTAGTTAAAAATAATGAAGTTTACATATTTTAAATGCACTGAGATTTAGATGCATTCGATGGTGCCTTTAAATACAGTTTTTGAAAAACTATCGTTTCTTTTGTTAAATTGCCAAGGATTGTGATGTAATGTGTATGAATTATTTAATATCATGCGACAAAAATATGTAAGAATATATTCATTATTGATATTACTATTCATTAAATTAATATTTATACTCGTATATACAAAGACTCTAGTATGTATGAATTATGTAGATGATTCGCTGGTTGCAAGCATGTTTGATTTTTATCGTATTTTCAAATATCACTAAAATATAATGATACATCGAAAGATGATGATATATGTCACTGAAAGTTGTATTTGTAAGCAATTGCAAAGACAGAGCAAATTCACCGGTTTTGCAAGTAAAATTTCTTTCCTAAAGTACTATATCATGTATATACAGTGATCTTCAAAGCTACATGTTATTCAATGGATTTGCGGAATACATAATCTGATGTTCATAACAATTTTACTAATACCATTTCTCAATTGTTCTCCTAATAGAACCTTCGAGAGAAAAAACCAGAGTGTACATCAAAGGACAGTCAATTAATAGGAACCAATGTAAACAATTTTCTTTACCAATTATATCGAAAACAGAAAAATTACAATTGAAAAATGTCGAATCTGAGTTCTCACAGTACCTGTGGATAAAATTGACGTCGAAACTATAAAATGACGTTAAACTATAAAAATCTGTAACTTTTCACCTTGACCTCGATATTAACCTTGATCAGGCCCTAGAGTCTTTTCTGACCCAAATCGAGGTTAATTTTTGCTGTGATGTTTTTCAAGGGGTGGGTGAAGGTTGAACTTACTAACGAAGGGGTTGTAACGTGATAAATTTGCTCGTCCGTTGAATACATTGTAAGACATGCGCGATATAATCGTGACATAGATCCGAGATACAAGAGACCAAGCATATAGCGGGTTACGGTTAATTCAGTTAAGTTAGCGAGCCAAAAGCTGAAAAAGGAAACCCATCCGAGGTGACCTCGCCGTAAGTGTCGGCCGTTACGACACCATTTCGTAGCTCGTGGACGGTTAAGAAGCTTGTGATACCGGGACTGTATAAACCTCGTCCCGTAACTAGACAGGCGATCGTTGAAATATTTGGTTGTAAACAGAACAAAAACTTTACATGCAGATCCTCGCCGACCGGGCGTTGATTGATGAGCGTGATGGAGCCAGCCGGAAGTGCCTCCTTGGATTTCGAACCTTTGGTGATGTCACGGAACTCCTCTGTGTAGTCCTGCATAATAGCAACGCCCAAAAAACAATCACATGCATGCATTCCAGAAAATTGTCTCGGGATACTGTTCGAAGCTTCTTTTCTTGTCTTTTTCTATTTTTGCTCTTCGATGGAAAGAAATACAACGGAACATTGTACCGTTTCCGGTAATGCTACTATAGCCGGATAACGGGAGAGTAATCGTTGCCAAGACGTTACACAAGAATTATTCCTCCAAGCGAATTTAACCCTTAGAATTGCGCTTCGATCTGTGCACGGTGGAATAAGGCGGACTGAACTGGAATATACTGAAAACGCGAGGGAGCTGAATGGCCCGGATTCAGCGGGAAATTTTCTTGAAACGTTCGTGGGATGGATTGAAATTATTTTTTTTTACTGTTCCGAAATAAGGTTGATTTGAATGCTGGTCAAGATTAACCCTTTGCATTTGGAAGGCAACTCTCAGTCACCATTTGATTTGACGTGGAAAAACTATAAAATCTGATATTTAATCTTGAACTTTATATAATGCCTTGATACGTGAAATAGTGGAATAAAATATCTTTGTTCTTCAATATACTTGTGATTTCCTTTTGAGTTAGTTTCGAGGAATATCGTTTTCGCCTCCTCAAAAAATGTTAAACGTTTCTAGTGAGAAACTTCCGAGTGCAAAGGGTTAATTGTACTATTGTATGCAAAAATGGCTTCGGCGCTAAAACTAAGTTTGACGAGGGGTGGCTTTAAATATCACTGAATGAAATACAGAATGAGTCGAATAAAATGTTGCAAGTTGTTTCCTGTAAAGTTACGACAGATATTGGCTCAATTATTTTGTAAATTAGATGGTAAGGGGACTTAATCATTTCGTGTGCAACAAAATGTGTGAGCAGTGAAGAGGAAGATGCGGTTTTAATGTGATAATGCCTTAGGCACTTTCTTCTCAATACGTGTGATCAAATATTAGAAACGAAATTTTAGGGAAGTATGAAATGAAAATATTATTATTCAATGTTTGAAATAATATTCGTGACGTAACTTAGAAGTCGAAAAAGATTTGAATAAAAAGAAGATAACGTTTGCCTCATTAGCAGTTGTCTCAGAAAACTTTAATCTATACCAAATAATCATAAAAATTGCTCAACTGCCATTTAATTTCAAAATAAGATGAAATCAATATCTGGTATAGTTACTAGAATAGAATACAGTTAAGAAAAATACAATGAAGAAGTCCTATGTTCCTTTGTTAACACATTTCATATGTTCAATAAAGTCTTTAATGTTACGTTTTAATTGAACACGAGTTAGAATTGGTCAATAAACATCGATTCACAAAGTTTGTTAGAAATCTTTCCACTTAAAATAATGGAATGAAATTTAAAAGCCATATATAGGAAAGAACAAGTAATCTATTTTTGCAAGTTTCGCAAAATAGATCTGAATTGTTTGAGGCAATTCTTGCATGCGATATTGCAATTGCGGGAGGTTTCATTAATTCTGTTACAAGCAGTGTTCGTGGTTTACAATAATAAGATCACGTACGGTTGCAGCGGTAGAAAAAGATTATTTTTAATATAAATCAATTGATTTTAGTTTATTACACAGGTTTTTAATTCATAATATATGCACGTCGATCCTATTACCGCTGATTCGCATTACTATTTTTTATAAAATTTAATTCTGAAGTGACAGATGAAACTATAAGAATTTTAAAGAATTGGTAACTAAATTGTGTTCAATAAAAAATATTATTAAGTATGTTTATAATACGAAAAAACAAATGTTTATATATTGAATAAATAATTGAATAATGTCTTCTGAAATGAATACCTATATAAATATAGATTTTCATTAAAATAAATTTATAAATGGTCTGCGAAATCTGTATTTTTATAATACAGGTATCAAACAAACAGTTGGTAACAGTGTTAATGAAACATCATGTGTATCATTTATAATTTCTTTGCGAGTAAGTACAAACTTTCATAGTCTTATTAAAAAAAAAAATTTATAATTGGATTATGGAGTGGGTAGCTTTGTATGTGGGAGGTAAACAAAAAATTTTTTTTAAGCAAGACATTTGCTGACGAAAACTTGACAAAAAGCGTGACTTTTACCGTTTAAAATTAGAAAAATACAACGAATAAGGGTTAAAAACGCCGATTGCACAAAAACCTTTTTCTTGACTTTTGTTTTCTTAACCCCTTGACCTACAATGTCGTGCCAGACTCGTGACGAAAATTTTCAACTGAATTTGAGAAACCTAAGTGTTACTTATTGTTTTCAAATATAAATTAAATATTACTTCTCTATTATCAATCGTTGACCTTTGGAGTAAACATAGACATAGAATAAGCATCAACATTTTTTCTTTTCGTAATAAATTATTAACGATAAAGTAGTTGTATCGATCACAGTTAAAAAATAAATTATAGGGCAAGGGGTTAATACTTAGAGAGTATTCGAACCGTTTAACTTTTCAAAATATTCTAATAGACGTCTATTTTCGCTGAGTCACAAAGTCTAAATGGTACCCGAATAAATGGCACAGCTTTAACTTAAAACATTGTAGAATATCGAGACATGTAGAATAACTAACGGATAAAATTAATGCAGTTATAAAAGGGACAGAACCAGAATAATATTCAATGCACTCTACAACTATATTTTCTAACATCAGATTTCCAACCATGAGCAGGGGCTTACATGCGATAAAAAGAGTCGCAGTAACGTGTTAAGTATATTTGTCGTATTGTTATCTTACCTCGAACTGTGGCCAATTCATCGCCATATTTACGCCGTGATTATTTGACCACCATTTCAGATCCTTTTCGTGGTCCGCATTGTTGATCGTGTGATAGAATTCCTCGTATATTTGGGGAAGTCTACGAATGAAAAATCATTATCACCACAAGTATAAAATCACGGAAATACTCGATGCAATATTGTTGCACTTCAATAATATTTGTATGTATGTTTATTACATAATACAACGTTACTTTTGGTCCAAAGCAATTAAATTAAAGCAAATGATAATAGTATTTTCTTTTAAAAAGTTTGCGGAACACTTCAATAAATTCAAGTCAACTCTCGCGCGGCGAATACAGATTTTATTTGGACCTGCATCTGTAAACATCGTCAATCGTAAAATGTAACGTGTAACAGTCGGTGTTTTAATTATGAAACGATTTGTTAATAAATATACTTTTTAGTGTATTAGCAATTTGTCTTATAATCCTATACGTTTTACATAATTACGAACATTTTATTTAGAAAACAGATAGAGAAAAGGTGTGTACAACTTAAACGAAATAAATATTTTACCAATAAATGTATTTCGATTAAATTAATAAACGAATACTGTATTCGTCGCGCGATTCTCTGATAGATGATCCATCGTTCGATATTAATATAAAAAAGCATTTTACATCGACGTTAACACTAGGTTTACGGAACACGTCAATTCGAAGCACATTGAATTTTACAAACATAATTTGATAAATATTTCTGTCGATTTTGATTAATGCAAACGAATACGTATCTCAATTATTCATTTTTAAACCTCTCATTTCCAAGATCTAAACGAGCGAACAATTTTTCTAGGAACAATAGGAAAAACTATAACAAACTATAACAAATGTCCGTAAAACCTAGTGTCAAATAAAACAGATGAGAAAGCGAGTGATGCGCGAACTATTTAAACGAATTACAAGAGAAATATATAATTACATTGGATCTTGGGATATATTTAGGCATTTGTGAAGGTCGAATAGAACCACCTCCTTGAAGAACTGGAGCCGTTGCGCCTCCATCTCTTGACACCTGTCGAACACCTGAGTCATGTCTTCCATGTACTTGGGGTTGTACTGATTGATTTCTTGCAGTGTGGCCTCGTATTTTTCCTTCGCCTTCTGCACCTCCTCTTTCGTTTTCTGCACTCTGTCCTGCATTTTCTTCACCTGCCGATTAAACACAGGAGCGGCAATCAATATTCTGAATCGTGGACGCCCGTGCGAGTGATATTGAAGGTAAAGATCTTGGCAGAGGGTTACCGAGCGAACCTGAGGTTTGTTGGATCAGCCGGGGGGGATCGGCAAAAAACAATGGCGTTTTTAAAAGATCTTTACGATCGTTTAACCGAACCATCTAACCGTAAATATTTTCAGAAAAGGACCACGTTGACTCTCAGGGGGCATGTTGCCTGTAGAGATGCGCTGCGATTTATATACCGGGTGCTTTGTAATTCGCGATACAACTGAAAGGAGGTGTGTCTGCGAGTATCACGAGCAGTTTGTTTGAGAATTACTGGCGATGACAGTGGAGTTTCTCTTTCTTATTTTCTTGCCGTCGTGGATAAATGCAGGGAACGTAGTTTCTTGGAACTTTGTATCAGTGAGATTTGACGAGCAAATATTTGAAGAGTAATCGAGTATTTTATCAGTCGTTCGATATAATATAAATGAAAGATTTGGAAATGTTTAGAGAAACAGGAAGATTGTTTTAACACTAGACTACCAAACAGGTCAAAATGACCAATTCCTAATTTCTTTTACAATTATTGCAAAGGTATAGACACTTTTTAAAAAAATGATTAAAGAAGCTGATTTAGTAATACCTAAACTGAAATACAAGCCAATTGAAATTTTAATAAATTCACGTTTATAGCTTTTATAAAGAAATTTTAAAAAGACGGTTGAAGTGCTCGGTAGTTTTAGTGTTAAGTAGTTAATCCCTCGCACTGGAAAGACGTATCCCGTACGTCGGAATGTTTTTGTTCTAGAATTGCCAGTGAAATTAAAAAAAAATAATTTCATGACGTCTTGTATATATTGATAGTCCTTTTGCATTACATATACTAAATTGTTTTGAAATGTGTCACTCTATACAAAATGATTAATAAACAAAGTTAGTGTACATGTATGGGTAAAGAAAGGAGAAACAAAATTCTTCGCGTAAGACTGCCAAATGTCCGAATTAATTTCCAGCGCTAGAGGTTAACTGTGAAATTCAGTTTCAAAAATCTCTCGTCGAGTGTAATGAGATCAACCGATGACGAGCATACATTAAAGAGACTAATATACATTAAAATAAAAAACTACAGCAAAGTAGAAGAAGAGCTATGTGTTTATTTGAAGAAATAAATAATTCATTGTCAAACACAGTTGACTGATTAAACATTTGTTGAAACTACTTTGAAATAATTGTTAACATTGTACGAATTAAATATACGATTATTTTTTCAGTATTCTCTGAACGAATTACATTTACACGTCCCATTATGCTTCGTTAATTATGCGAAACGAAAAATGTTTTGAACAAAGTCCATTTTTTAATAAAGCATCCGAAAATATGAAACTGAACATAGTATTCAAAGTATAATGCATATCGTAGATGTTACTTCATACATGTAATTTTTTAAAATTACATTTAATGCTCGAGGAAAGACAGATTTAAGAAATAAAAGTTTCGACCGAAAAATCAGAGATACAATCGTATGGCACCATTTCCATTTAGTCGTAATGTAGGATCAATTTTAGAAATAGATTTGTGTATGCAGCACATCGAAGTTACCGATAAGGGAAACAACACAATGATGCGGTAGATTAGCGAAGCAATTTTTATACATCATAACGGTGAGATGTTGGGTACATGATAAGAAGTAGACGTGTTTGTAAACTGACAGTAAAAAATTAACCCTTTGCGCTCGAGGTAACTCTCTGTCATCACTAAATTTGATATAGCAAAATTATGGTCTCATATATAATATGCTTTGTATAGTGCATCAATAATGTGAAATATTGAAATAAAATAGCTTCGTTTCTTAATTTATCTACGTTTATCCATTAGTTAGTTTCAAAGAATGTTGGTTATGTCTCATTGGAAAATGTTGAATATTTCTAGTGAAAAACTTTCGAGTACAAAGAGTTAATATGTTTGGACGTATTGTCATAACTTTTTTTAGAATTACAATACACTGTCAAAGTTTTTTCTTGTCACCCTGTATATAAATATTGTACATTTCTGTAATTGTATAATATGTCACATTATTGTGAGAGTAATTATGGTCCTTTTGTCACAGATTAAAAATAATCATCGATTAACATTAGATTTACGGAACGAGTCGATTTGATTTATATTGAATTTTATAAACTATAAAATTTGGTAAATATTTGGGTTGATTTTGATTGATGTAGTTACACAAATATGTATCCTAATTGTTTACTTTTAAATCGCTAATTTCCAAAATCTAAACGAACGAATATCAATTGTTCTAACAATGGAATAAACTGTACAGCAAATATCCGTAAATCTAGTGTTAAAGACTCCCGTCGCAACCACTTTTGAGTCGTGATGATAACACATCAATTTTTATTATAGTTTGTGCGTGTGTATGCACCTTAAAAATCTCAAGCTCGATCGGGGGGGTTTTATACAAACCCGCAATGGCAGGCTCGTCGATAGTAAACAGAAACTACGTTGGATTTTATACATAAAAATTGATAAAGACCATACATCTACTGGACAAAGTATCCATGTGTTCGAATGCGCTTCGAACACAGTTCAGCTCACAATGTTTGCGTCACAATATCGTGACGACAATTCCAATTCTTTACCCTCAAGCTTACCCAGCGTACAACTGTGGCGGCAAAGAATACCTTTCAAAAAGTAAGCGTGACTTTTAGGATGAATAATGCAATTTTAATATTCTATATATTCTATATATGGGGACGTGTAAACAATTGAAACTTCGAAGATAATAGATTGAAATTTAGGGGATAAAAATGAAACTGTCTTAGGTTAGCGATACATGGAAAAAGTGATAACACTTTTATTTTAATGGCTATATAAAATATATAAATATTAATATCAAATGTTTAGAATTTGATAATGAATTTTTCAAGAGAGCTTTGTCTTTTATTAAAACGTCGATTGAAAAACTACAAAAATTCTCTAAACAAGGAGATCTCTTACATTTCCATTAGCAACGAATTGCTATTTATATTGTTTATTTTCTTGTTTTCTTATTTAATAAGTTTTGCACTGGGTACTTTCTTAAATCTGCTGAATCAGTTCAATTAAAGTTAATGAAAAATGTTGTGATTATAGCTTCTTTTGGGTGGTTGCCTAAGCGTTAATATCGTACAGAGATTATACCTGCAGTAAGTATATCAGAAAAATACACGATTAAATCGAAAGAATACATTTTTCAATTTACCATTTCATTTACGAAGGAAGTGAATTTATAACTAAATAGGTAATACTTTATTATGAAAGTTCTTTTCAGTTTGTTAGAATTGCGTGATTCATCCTGTCTATGTGATCAGCAAAACTAAATCTATCTACGTGTGCGACAAAGCAATATCTGTAAAACTACATAATTTAGTGTAAAGATTATTGGTACATCATTAAAATGTTACTTTTCTGTGACCATTATTTTAACGTAGGTACTTTGTATACAGAGTGTTTTATAAAATAAAGGTGTAACTCCAAAGGTAAGTCTAATATTCTTTGTAATTGAACGGTGATGACTAGAAACCCTTTGAATATCAATACATGATTTATATAAGCTTCTTTATATTACTTTTATAAATTTAAACTACTGTTTTTAGAGGCAAGTGCTCAGCTAAGTACTTAGAAAAGATTCGTAAGTAATTGTTTCACTTTTTAATCTTTGAAATAAAGTAATTCCTTTTCTCCTTGTTTCTATGCACGTTTAAATTTTATTCTGCAGCACATCATTTTTATTTTGCGTAATAAGAATTTGAAATTCTATTGCTCGTGAAATAAAGTTTTATATTCAAATTTGGAGACGTTTAATTACATTGTGTAGTATGTATTAATATTTAGCATTTTATATTATTTCTAGAATGAAATTTAAATAATCAGTGATTTCTTATTGCAAGTAACAATTAAGCGGTGTAACTAACGGACCGAATAGTGTTGTATGAACAAAGCTTCTGGAGTTTACTCACAAAAATAGCTTACAACGTTAAGATGTGTTCATATTGTCTATTACGCGTAGGTGACGAGCAAACATCGAGCAAAATGAATATCAAAACGTAATTTTCATTAATTTTAGAATGTTTTAGTAAAATGTTATAGAAGTCAGAAAGATAAACTTATAATATGCAAATTCTATAAATACATATGTCTCCGAACAAGTTTATTATTAAAAAAAAATAATCTGCATCCAAGTATAAAAATACTGTATAGAATTAAAAATACTTGGAATTATCAAATAAAATCATTGAGAATAATAAAGATTACATAGATAATTAAATAATTTAATTTCCACAATAACGAAGATTTTTCATTTGAAAAAATGTCATATTTAATCAATTTGATAGTCTCCTTTTTCTATAAAAGAATGTGAAATATATAACAATAATGTTATTATAAATTGAAGATGTAGAACTAATAACATCGAATAACATTTAAAACTGATTTTTAAGACACCTGATCAAGAAATGTTCAATGTATCAATTTGTTGTATTTTATCAGTAACAAAATATTTTCTATTCCCAAAAGTTTATATTTACTTTATAAAAATAAGTACACAGATACACTAGCATAATAGATACATTTTAAAGCTCGATGCTTGCGCGATCAGTGACTTGATGTAAATTATTAGTTACCAGAAAATGGCTTTGCTTACCAATAGAGCTTTCTGTAACGAGAAATAAAAGAAAAGATCGGTTAATCGATAAACATGCTACATGCAGTATCGTTATACATACAAGCTGAATGTCTCCTATTTTAGACTTCCTAAAGGCTTTTCGTATTCTTCTCCATGCATCACATCCACACACAGTCATCTAAAATGTTGGTAGCCATTTTTCAGAAGATCGCTCTTCCTCCGGCGATATTATCGTTTTTCCATCGTGCTATACGTGCAACGATATTTCTCTTGCAATGCTACTCTAATAGTGTTGTTTACCAATCACATTATCTAGAATTTTAACGCGAACCATTGCGTAGAAAGTGTAACAATAATTTGGTGCAGTAACTAACGTAACAGCATGTCTAGATATTTAAAATATTCAATTTCAACGGTTACGGCATTCATATACACCAAATGCGTCTAACGAACGAAATTAACAGAATTTTTGACTTTTGTAAACTGTGTGTAACAATGCAATACAATTAAATATAAAGAACTTGATAATATTTTGTTAGCTAAGTCGTTCATAGATCAAAGTGACTAACTCTGCTTGTCGAATGTTTTCAAATGGAATTTGAAAATATCCCAGATTTCAGTGTTAAAACATTTGAGGTAAAGTCACCAGTAATTGACCTGGTATCAGTGGTTGACCATTTTTCAGGAAAACATAAAAAATAAGGCTTTTAAAAGTAATAATCTTTTGATAAAGACACGATACATATGTTGCAGCATCTACCAACCCAACTTCGAAACATTTTTACCTGAACGAAACTGTTTATCGTAAAAACTAACAACCTATTTCATTGATGTTGGTTGTATGACTCCGATTTTCAACATGGAATTAACTTCTTTTCATTTGTATTTGTCCTTTTGCTTGTAATTTCTCATAATCGCTGCAAACAAACGATACTAAAGAAATCACCTTTAGTGTTTTCGGTTTTACTATAAGTAGCCAACTGCTAACTAACATATGGTCAACTACTAGTTATCTCGTTTTAAAGGATAGTCAACTTTTAACGCGAGTATTGAATTTTCAAAAATCTCTATCAAATTTGGATAATATAACTATTTCAAGGTTTGCTTTGTTACATAATGTAAGAAATTCAAACAGCATTTTCACGCATGGAGACTCTCTATTTAATGAAGGAGCAAGCGTTTACTATTATTTACGCAGAACATTTTTCTTAACTGGTCAGCTATTGGTGATTTTACCTTAAATTTCGCCGAACTTTCCTACTTTTCCTTTCGCGGAGTTAATCGTTTCATCGAAAGAATGGCTCAATCGGTACAACTTCAAGCTAGAAACGTACGATCCGTCTCCGAGCGATGCCCGAAACATGCAGGGATAGATAGACGATATTATCGAGCATTCGGGAAAGTCTAGAAACACTTCGTGAGACGGACGATCGTAGCGATATCGATTAATACCGGCAAACACAAAACAACATCGCATGCAGACAATTGTTACGATAACACGAAATTTGTTAACATACGTTTTCAGAGCCTCGGGCCATCTGCAAATAATACTTGCTAAAGAACAACTGCATCTACTCGTACATATGTTTATCGAGATGCAATACCAACGTATTGTGCGCACACGTGTAAGTACACATGATACTGAGTTACATGTGCTTGCGTGTGCACGTTTCGCCAAGGATATTAGTCGCTTCGAAAAGGATTTCGTTATTTGATATTTGTGTATGTGAGCGATGACATGAAAATACAGTTGAGTTGTTTAGTTTGTAGCCAAATGGATTAGAAAAAGCTTATGGATGAGTTAAAAAATCAATATGGCAGACATTGAATTGAGAGACATTCGTATTTGAGTATATCAAAATTCTGTTATCGAAAAATTTGAAATATTGTTAATATTAGTTTATAAATATAAACAAACAATAAATAATTTTATAAATACAGAATTATAAAATATGCTTATAATATATAATTGAGAAATTGTAACTGCTGAATTCGTTGTGCTTTATTGCAAATAGAATCAAATATTTTTTGTATGTTTTTATAACTGTGGGATGCCAGATGGTCTATGATGACCAGAATTAAATACATTGATATTTGTTAAAAGGATGGAGAAAAAGAGATCAAAATGCTTCAACGAAATTAGATTTGATATTTCCGAGATTTTGGATATATCTTATGACATGAAACAATTCGTAACAAATAAAGAGAAAATGATTTTATTATCTATGATAAAAAAAGTTTGTATGGTTCTTGTTATTGTTCATTCACTAAACAACAATAATCTCATCCATTCAAAGTATATTTGAAAGTTACTTTCCTGTTGTTGTTCTAATGTTATATTTCAAAATTACAAAGCTTTTCTTTGTTTAATAGAATGTATAAATAAATTCATCGATGTATTAAACAGAGTAAGTTTAATATCAAATACAGAAAGTATGACAATATTTAAAACATGAAATAAAGATAAATTACACTGAAAAATTTATTTACGTTATTCCCATAGGAGTTTCAAATTAATTTTTTTATCCAAACGTATTTTTCCCGTTACCGAGGATGACTTCGCATAAATAAAATACTCATGTAACGGTGACTTGAATAACGAAATATCAAACCATGTTTTTTTACGGACAACCACAAAACGGAATATTTTTATCAACGATTAAATTATTCCAGCGATTCAGTTTTGAATACATATTAAACAGATTTGATTCCAAAATAAATATGTAAAATATTTCTCGTAAAGGCAAAATCAAATTTATAATACTTGTTCTTTGAAATTTAGAGTTTCTTCGACTTTTTTTATCTACACGAACAGAAGAACTGTTAATAATATTTAGCATGTCTAAACTTAATAGAAATTATTTATATTTCATAGATCATATGTTCTTGATATACTGGGTGCCTCTCAAAAATAAAGATTAAGGGAAAGCGATGTAAGGACCAAACAGAAATAAAAGAAATAAAACTATGTTGTCAAAATAACAGCGAACACGTATATTTTATTAAATTTTTCTTTTATTTCTATTTTATCTCCTCTATCAGCTACATCTTTTTTTTATTAACATTAGGAACAGGTTGTAGTAATTTGCTTATTATCTCGTTCGCTCACTCATTCACCCACTTAAAGACTCACTGGGAAGAAGGTTTATTTTATTTAGCTTCCCAGAGGAGATTTTTGTAACCGAATAATATTTTTAAAGAGTTTGTAAGAACAATTACTGTTTATAACTTCCAGTGTGACTTCCATCTTTGCTTATGTAAAGTGTGATTCAGCGGTAAAACTGATCAACACATTTTATATGACACTGTGACGCTGCATTACATCCCCTACATCTAATGAACGGACGGTGGTCATCTTAATTAATAAGCAAATCAATATTTAACGAGGTGATGATACTGTAAAATAATCTTGTTAAAATTAAAGATTGATATCGTAAAGTACTAGTACTATATTTCTTTATTGCAAAGTAGCATTTATTTGATTAAATATGCATTGTTAGATCTGGGTTGATTTTATCACTTTTATCACTATTTTTTTCATAGACTCCCTGTATATTATTGTATGGAACAGAAATAATATGAAATTAGAAATATTTATAGCATATTTGTACGTATTAAATTTCAATATTTTAAAACTGTCGTATAACAAATGAGAATCGAAGACTTTAAAACCGATTTCAGAATATATAGTTGTTATTATTAAATTCAAATAGCCATCTATTCTAAAGTAGTTGCATAATACTGTATTAATAATGATGCGAGTATATTTATTTTCCTTATTAACACTGACCGTACCTTGAAGCTATTCTAAAATCTGATTAAAAATCGTGCGTTTTCTTTGGTTCGTTTAATTTCATATCAATTCCTATATTGTTCGATTTATCAATTTTTCAATATTTGTCTTTCCTTTTGTTTACTTTTTCTTGTAGCTAGTTATTTGACTGGTTTACGATAGGAATAAATATATACAAAGTACCGGTGCAGCTAGTGTTAAAAAAATATAATTGACATCGATGGTATGTAAGAAAAATGGTCGTAATAAATTGTTCTTGTATCTTAGATATAAACAAATTTGTAAGACTAATGAACAAATTCTTAAGATCTATAGAAACTCTTTCTCTTCCGCTATAATAAGTATTAAAGAGAAATCCTTTTTGTCTTAGATAGAATGATTACACAAAAATCCTTTTCGCAAAGAGTTCGATGCCAGCGACTGTGATTTAGATGTAATGTGATGTCAGAACTGTGCTAATTATCGATTACGTATGATCAGAGTATGGTGTAACTTTTTATCAAGAGAGCGGACGTGTGTCGATTATGTTTCTTAGTGATTCGCAAAAATATATTATTGAATTCGTTCGCAGTACGCACACATACGCACACAATGAGATGAAAAATCAAACAATGAATACTATTTCTCTGGGGTAATCATGTTTGAATTTCAATACAGAAGTCCAGCTGGAATAGACGCTATTTTTTAATCACCGAAATAAGGATGAACATGGATGGATCCATGGAAAATAGATGATTTAGAAATAACTATGTAATTCAAATAACAAGATAAAAGTATGAAGAAAAGGAAGCACATGTGCAAATACCTGTAACGAATATAAGAGTAACAGATATGGAAGTATTGAACGACGAACTTTTGTATAGGGTGTCCTATTTTCATTTATAAATGCATTTATTTCCGGAACTATTCGTTATTTGAAAAATGTCTCAAATACGATTTTTTCTGTTTTTGTGAGTTTTCAAGGTGAATAAGTTAATACTTCTTTTGTGAAGAACGAGCGGCCGCATTGATAGATGTAAAAAGAACTATATGATAGTATTAACTTGTAATTAATGAATTATAAATATCCTGTCGAAATAGAAAAATTGCATTTAGGACATTTTTGAAACACTAAATAGTTTCGGAAATAATTGTATTTATAGATTAAAATGAGACACTCTGTGTGCAACGAGAAGACAGAACTGAAACAGAATCTAAATTTTTGACTTAGGATAAAGAGAAAACACATCATCATAGATGACTGAACCACTTAACTCAGGTAAGATATAGAACTTCAAAGAAGGTATATATTTGGACATAAAAATCACAAACGAATAATGGTATAAACGAATTATAAAATTATAATAATTTAAAATGGAAATGAAGAACAACGATAACTATCACACTTTTCACCCGAAATGTTCTATCACGCACAACTGATTTGACGATCACAAACGGTAAAACTCACTTCAGACAACGCACGTATTATCCATAGTTTGAATGAAAAACTGCAATGACTCGAATTAAAATCAATCTCATCAAAATCCACTCATTGATAAGAATTTTAGAAGCTCATGGACAAGAAACGAGTCAGCTACTGAACTCTTTATCAAAATAATTAGGAGGTGGTATAGTGAAATCAAAGAAAAAGGAAGAGGAATAAAAAGACATTACAAGATCGTATTGTAGAAAATAGGGAAAAATAAACAGACTCGCAAAACAAGTAAAATAACTTTTAATGTGCCAAAAGAATAACAGGACCTAAGTGTTTGTAGAGAATCTAGAGACGACATTAATGACAAACCACTCTTTATAGAAAACAGTTACAAAACTAGTGAAAAAGTCTGTTAAAAAAATAGCTCATGGAATATTAATACACTGGATGGCCGAAAGAACTCAAAGAATAATAGAATTACATAGCTGCAGAATACCTATAGAACATCTTCAAAACAAATCGGATTATACATGATGAAACGAGCGACAAACGAACCAGTCAGAATTTCCCTATAAAAACTTCATAATGAAAAGTATTTATAACGACATATTAAAAGCGTAAATATAAAGAATCATTAAGATAGAAAGATACTTTTCAATTTAGTTTTAGAAGCTGGTAATTTTCCTATAAGTTAGAGGGATTATTCTCACCTAGGAACTGAAAAATTCACCAGCACACCTTAGTTATGTAGCCTGTCATCATTACTCTCTATCCTATCAAAAATAATGAAAAGGATAATCCTAAAATATCTATTGAATGAAATAGAAAACAAAAAATTGACGCTTGAGCATTAATTCGGTTTTACTTTGAGTGACAACTAACTTGAAATTAACCTCTTGTTTTACGATTTCTTTGACAACAGCACTCGCTGGAACTATTTTATCGTTAATAATTAAGATGGAAGAAGGAAGAATTCTATATTTGTCTTATATCCAGATTTACTTCAATGATTAACGATTGATAATATAAAGTAGTATTTAATTTCAACTCAATTTGTATATGCTAATCTCTGTTCGAAATTTTAGTTATGAATTTGACACAGCATTACAAGACAAGGGGTTAATCTTTAGAAAAGTATGCTTTGCACTCAGGATATTAATTTTTCTAAAAATAACAACTGGTAGCGAAGTGACTCTCACAAAAAGACAAACAAAATATCACGGCCTAATATCATAAAATAAACTCAGAACAAACACAACAAACTTCGTAGTAGCTCCGTCGATTGATTATTAAATAGGAAATCAAAACACGAGAACAAACAAAACAAACTGGACAAACAGCGGACATTATATCTGGATACCACACTAGGTCTCAGCTGCAAATACACGCAGCAAATGAAGAAATTTCAAACTGCTGAATCAGAAGCATTAACAATACACCCGAAAACCTTTTAACATCCCGTCAGTGTAGTTTACTACACTTTTACAACACAGCGCACAGAAAGAGGATCGAATCCTGTTTAAATGGTGCACAAGAAAAGATCCAGTAAACATACTCACCACAATAGAAAACCATTAGCCCATTCGCGCGGAATAACGAGGCAGAATCGTGGAATACTTTGTATTTTGTCGTGGTGTAATAATAAATATTAATGCGTTATATTTTTTGTTTGTCTCTGCAATACTGTACCATTTAGTCAGTATTGTTTGCATTATTTCTACACTGCATCGCTTAACACGTTAAGCGCCACGAAAATCTTGAACGTTTTTCCGTTGAGTTATTCTTTTGTAGCAAAGAATAGCAGGAACAATGATTAATTACTTGACGTTACAATCCATGCATTACACTATTCGCAACTTAGTTACGTTATTAAACATTTTCATTGTACATCGGTTATCTCGCATGTTACGATTATTTTCAAGTAATTCAGAAACGTCAGTCATCAATGACTGCCATGGCACTTAATTTATTAAGAGCATTTTGCCTACAAAATACACAAAACGACTGCCGCGCGAATGGGTTAAAACCCAGATAACTCCGAACGAATGATCTTCCCGTTGGTCAAGTGAGAATGTGAGTGAATGAAAGAGTGACTGAATGAGCGAACAAGAGTGTCAGCGAATTATTACAACTAGCTTCTACTGTCAGTAAAGACGAAATGTAGCTAATGATGGGGATGAATAAAAGAAGACACGGCTTTATCACCGTAATCGCCGCACAGAAAGGGTAGAATCGTTGTTTTACCTGGTCTGGCGAAAGCGAACTGTCCGCGGAGGCGTTCCTCTCCATATTCGCGGCAGTTCGCTCGGTTTTACAGCTGTTGTGATATTCTGACTTCGATTTTTCGACCTTCTGCAAAAGCTTCACCCAAGGTTTCTGCGCCTTCTTGAACGCATCCTCCATCTCCTTGCGTTCCTTCAGAGTCATCATCGACTGGAATCGAACCACATCCGTACAAGATTAGCGATAATTATGAAAACCTACACGGAGAACAGATCGGTTAGAACTATATATGCGTGAAGAGGGTTGGATGTGTACGGGCTGTTCACGTGGTGAGCACCAAGCATTTTCGTCGTGTACAGTGAGAACACTTAGTCTTGTATACGGCACTCGAATTGCGAGGTTTCGGTTTAACCCCTTGTCGTACCACGACAAGTGAGACTCGCGATGAAGATTTCTAGATGAATTTAACAACAATCAATCTTGTTCGTTACCCACGAATTAGAGCAAACAACTATTTTGCTATTATCAATTTATTATTTTCAAATGAAATTTTCACTTCAAGTAGAATGGAAAATTTTGTTGCATTTCTTGCAAATCGTTGACAGTGAAATGTTATACGAGCTTAGTAGCAAAAGTAAATAGTACGGCAAGGGGTTAGCACCGCGGTTTCCAACCTGGGAGGCGCGGACTATTGTCAGAGAAGGCGCCAAACTTTTTAATGAAAAATTAATGTTCATACCATAATATCTAGAAATAAATAAACTTCACATCGTAACGTAACAGTACAAATTCAGTGAAGTAATTTTTATTTTGCAATAAAGTTATTATTATTTAAAACGTGTCTATATTATATTATATCTATTAAAAGATAGGAAGGCACGGAAAACAATTTTTTTTAGGGACGCGTAGTAGCATAAAGTTTGGAAACCGCTGGTTTAACATGTTGAAGAAGAACGGAAGAACTTATAGAAATAAACAGTTACACGGCATTTGCATTTTATTTTGACACTGTCAGGTCAGACAAATGCAAAGGTTACATTAATTTCTTTTCTTGCAATATACTAATACTCGTTTAAATTTCACAATTTTGGGACTCAGCAGTGGAAATTAACCAAGCAAAAAAAACGGGAGGAAGCTATTTGCTTCGAAAACAATTTTTTCAAAATAATTGCAATCGATTTCATTATTCTTAAGTAATCAGTTTCAAACACTGAAGTAAATCTCAGTCTCTTTGTGAGTGGGATGTGACGATGAAAAATAAGAAAAAGTTACGATGATACGAAATATTCGAAACATTTTTTTTATTTCTTGCATGATCTTGAATGTTATTATATTGTGCGTGAAAAATGCTGGCTAATAACTGTATGAAACCTTTATCTGATACAGTGTACAAAACGAATCAAGCTCTATAACTTTTAATTAATGGACTGACATAAGAAATCAAATTAGACACATTTTGTTCTACATTTGCACTTTTACAGTTGTGCATAAACTAAAATATAATCTGAGAACACTGACATGGATCATATTCAAATTTTATAAAAACACGTTTATTTCTTGAGTTGCGCGAAATCGTCGAATAATTATGAAGAGTATTGAAGACGTAATACTTCCACGAACACTTCTGCTGCATTATTATTAGCTCTTTGCTGTGTGATTCCTTTCGCAATTGCATTGATCGATGCTGCTTTATCTTTTTATGATTCACCGAAAGTGAAAAAGAATTAGCATTCGTTGAAAGATACTATTCGCTTTAAATATAATTTCTACGAATTATTGATTCCACGCTTATAAAGTAAATCCTTTGAACTTGAAGTAATATTCCCGACTAATAATAATTTAAACCAATTATTGCGCTCGGAGTTCGGCTTTAGATATGCGGCTTTCGTTTTATGTGAACAGATATTTATCTGTGAGCGTTTGGACAGACAAATATAGACATCATTTATAAAACTTCGTATTTTCGCAAGAAATGCAGACAGCAACATAATCTTGAAAAATTCCACTAACGGTTTCCGCTTGGCATGCAACGCGGAATCCATGAGATCGTACAATGTAGGTAATCGATGCAATCTGTGCAAAATTCATCAAGTTCGAACGATTTTTCATTAGCCTTTCATAATACGTGAACATATTTCATTTGTCAAATCTGTATCTTCAATACTGTAGAACATTCATCCGAAATTTTGAATTATTTTATAATGTTTAAATGTTTCGCCCATGAATATTGATAAAATCATGGATCATTCGATAGTACGTACAATTCGAGAAGCAATGAATATATTTTAGGTGACTATCTTAGGGCTACTCATAGTTTCCTGGCGGTATCGTAGAAATAAAAGGCCAAAATGTAATTATTGTTCGTTTTTATAAACTACTTAACCAGTTAACTGCGTTTGACGGGTATACACGTCATCTTAAAGCTTGAAATGATAGTACATAATTCTTTAAATGACGAGTTATTTATTTTTCTAGATAATTTTGATTTTATTGCACACAAAACGAAAGATTTTTTAACCCAAATTCCACAGTTAATACAGGTGAGGTATATATCTACATATTACACATTTCCATAGTAATAAAATGTACATTGTTATACATAATGTCCTATTATTGAGAGTTTATTGCCTAAGCACTACAATTTTTTTTATATTTCCCGGACATGAAAAATTATTGAAATTTGGCAGAACGATTCCATAATCAAAGACATGATCACCAAATGCATATTCAGTATGCCAGAAAGAGTGCTATAATAAGAGCTATAATAAAAGCAAAGGGGGAAAATACAAATTATTATTAATGTAGAAATGGGACTATCCAATGACATTTTAACGTTCAACAAAAATTACAAAAGTTTATTAACACGACAAAAAACATATTAGGATTACAAAATGTGTGTGTGTATTCATTGGTGATCCATTTCGGCAATCATGCATAATTTTATGATTTCTTCTTAGCTAGAAATATCGAAATAGGTATATATATATAGGAGATATATCACGTCTTATATCTTGAAAAATTTGTAAAAATTCAGGAACCTCGTGGAACCAGATAATTTTTGTGTTCTATTATTCATTGGTCTTTATAGAAAACATATTAACAAATTTTAACTGAAAATATTTGCAATTTTGCACAGTTTTATAATTTTTCTTTAATCAAAAATATATAAGAAAATAAAATTTCTGTTATTTATGTCTTGATTATTACAAGTTTTTTACTTACATTTTTTAAATAAATTAAATAAATGAAATCATTCAATAAAATTATTAACGATTTCATTATTATTATATATCATACATAGTTTCCTAAGAGAAATGCAACTCCTGTTGAGCGCACAGGTGGTCATCGCTTTCGCCGAATCGCGCGTTTCTCGCCTCTACATTAATATTTATTTATTTAACATATATGTATACACCTTAAGAGTTAATAACAGTTATTATTCAATTCCGTTTTGGTCTTGTAATTCTACGATTAGCACGAAAAACAATGAAAATTATGACTGGCCCTAATTGTTCGATCAGGGAATGTATCAAAACAACAAATTAACATTTAAACCTGACACACATGATAATGTACACTGTTTTACTGTTCTCAATACTTAATAAAATCAAAGATCTATTTAAAACTTCCGAAAAAGGTTTCATACGTTTATTGCTCCAGATATTTTGTTATCAGTATTAAAAAAAAAGCGTCCCATTCTATCCTACTTTCCCCAACAACCTATATTTAAACCCATTTCTATCAGAAAAGCAGAATACTACCATGTTTATTCAAAGTATATGTCATTACTTGCGGTGCGTTAAATAACAGTCTTTTCTTGTTAAGTAAGTGCAACATAATTTTGAACGATAATCAAGTCTAAAGGAGATAAACAGAGAATCGAGTGAAAAATTGTACGTACTTTGTGGTAATTGTCCTTCTGCCACGTTTTCACTTTTTGAATGATATCGTTGCATAGATCCTCCTTAACCCTGAGATGAAGATCGCATAACCTGTCCGCTTCAACGAGAACGCCTTTCCATGCTGCCTCGGTGGTTCCGTATTCGGGTCCTTTCTCGATCTTATCGTTCCAATTCTTCGACCAATTCTTCAACGCTTTCGCGTAACTCTTCTCTATCTCCGCCCTCTCTTGTACTAACGCTATTAAGCTGTCGCAAAGCTTGTGGCCGTCTTCGATCCTTTTCGTCGTCCGCTTGTAGTTACCCGGCTCCCAGAAGGAGTCCGAGGTTGCTATTAGCATGTTATCGTCGCTGTGATGTGACATCCTAGCCTAAATCGAGAAATTCCTTTCACCTGGAAACAGAATTTAAGAAACTGACATTATCCATCTGTTCATAAATACGGTAGGGGTATGTAAGGTAAAAGCACCAATAGTCGACCAGTTAAGAAAAGTTCTCTGCGTCAATAATAGTAAACGCTTGCTCCTTTATTGAATAGAGAGATCCTATGCGTGAAAATGCTGTTTGAACTTCTTACATTATGTGACAAAGTGTGTGACCAAAGGTGATTAATTTAATCTCGTTTATTTGCAACGATTGTGACAAATTACAAGTAAAAGGACAAATACAAATGAAAAGAAGTTAATTTCGTGTTGGAAGTTAGAGGCATACAACCAACGTTAATGAAATAAATTGTTAGTTTTTATGATAAACAATTTAATTCAGGTAAAAGTGTTTTAGAGTTGGATAGATGTTGCAGAATATCTGTCGCGCCTTTATCGACAGATTATTACTGTTAAAAACCTTATTTTTTACAGTTTCCTGAAAAATGATCAACTACTGATACCAGGTCAATTATTATTGATGGCTTATCTTAATACGATTTGAATTATTTCTTATGCTAATAATGAGCGTTCATTAAATGATGAAGTTTATAATTCGTAGAGCAATTGAATGAACAAATTTAAATTGTTCATTAGACGGATTTTTTAGGTAACAAGAAGGAATAAAGTTGATGATTCGGAGATTATACTTTTTTCAAATATCAAGACACAGTTGGTTTAATTAAATAATTTTCCGCTGAAAACAATTTTCGTTGAATAAATAAGTTTATTATTTGGAAAATAAAAGTATAAAATTCTTCAGAAATTCTAGGTACTGAGTAATTGAAATGGTCCTTGAAACATAAGAAATAACATAAGAAAACTTGACAATGTGATGTTTTCCAATAATTAATCCGTGCTAACTATGATAGCTAATTGAAACTTGACATAAGATATAATTCCTGGCAAACTACGACACATTCTATCGTTAGTTTTATTCGATTTGAGTGTATTTTTATCTTCTTATCTTACTGTACTTTTTATCTGATATATAGATAATGTAGGTATTTTTACTCGTATGCTAAAGAATTAAATAATCAAAAGCAATTGTATTTATTATAGCTGAAGTTCAAGCGTAGCCTTCTCAGCAACGAAATAATCAGCGAAAAATTTTATTGTATACTTTTTATTTACACTTTCGTGTAATATTTTGTACATACATATATACCGTTTCATATTAATTTATATGAGCTAAATATTTTAATGTAATTCTCTTTTCACCATTTTACATGTTTATGTATGTATGCTACACTTTCCCACGATAGAGCAATTCAACAGAAGTAACTGGAAAAGATTAAGAAATTCATGATTTTGCACAGTACTTCTTTAATACTGTATCATTTCAACATGAATTAAAGTGAAAGCAGTTTATTCAACTCGAGAAATATTGTTTCAAAGATTTGCAGGAAGCAATTTTTCGTTTATAAATTATTCCACCTATGTCACAATACGGTGTATTCAACTGAAGTAATTAGAATTCACGGTATGCAGATCGTTATAGGAGACAATCGTATTCTCTGCTAATAAATTATGTTCTATATTGTCATATAAGTGAATACTCGTATTTAATTACTGAACGTAAGCTTTGTGATTTACATAATTGGTATCTATTTCTGATGCAAGTATTAATAAATTATAAAACACATCATTGAGCAGTAAGTTATATTTCTTCAAAATATTCTAAAAATTAGATGTTTTGAGTATAAACAGCAACAATGAACAATCATTTATCATTGAAAGCACACAATACACATAAGAAAGATAATATTATGATGTACCAATTAAAATTTCAAACTTTTTTACAGCTGGTAAAGCAAATATTAATTTTCTTTGAGTAAAATGGCAAATGTATTCATTCGAATTCTTAATATTATTTCCGTAGAATATTATATTAGTAATTATTTATTATAATTTTTCCTCACTTTTATTGCTTGGCATCTAGAAGTGATAGTACACATTCGCTCTCTATTTTCAGTACCTTTCCCTTTCTATACTTGATTAATAGGAGACTATTCCTTGCTTTCGCGAAAGCTTGGTCACAAACACTATCTCAGTGTTAGACTGTTAAGACTCCTAAGTAGGTTTTAAAGGCCCTGCAACTTTAATGCTCCCTATTTTTCTTTTAGACATCATAATTTAGAACTCCGCTATATAATGAATATTTTCCTTCCCTATTGCCTGGCTAATAACATGATGCCTTTTCTCATGTTTCAAAGAAATCTGGACTCAAGACTACTCCAATGCTAGTTTATCTAAGTCTCTGAGGTTCTATAACATGAATAGTTCACTTGTCATTACTAATCACCTGATATTCATTATTTAGATGTTCCCTCTATCATCAATACTCTTTTTCTCCATTGACTGATTAATACATTCCATGCCATGTGTACCATTACACGCGCAATTTTTGTAAGGAAACATTTTTTGTGAGACGTGTCAAAGAATAGTGGCACACGTCGCGAAACAACAAAAACGTAAAGAAACAATAGAAAAATATCTTGAAAGTCAGTAAAAGCTTGAATCTAACTTAATATATCAGTTAAAAAATCAGTGCACTTTACAAGCAAGATAGAACCGAAATTTCCGATGGCACGGAACGTGTTGTCTCCTTCCGAAGAAACTTAAATTCATGGGTCACTTCAGTGCTAGATTATTCAGGCTAGTAGGATCTAGAGGTCTTGCAACCTCATTGTTTTTCAATTTTCATTACTGGCCATCCGGGGGTTACAGTCTAAACCAACTTTGTCCAAATGCGACTTTCACTAGTAAAATTTCTCTTCAAGGTTCACCGGCTGGGTATAGCGACTCGTGCATCAATGTGTCACAGCTATGAAAAAGTGGGGACTGCGTCGAGGAATCTCGTAGAGGGTATGTATCTGACCATGTGTGGCATCGCATGGCAGTAGTATTGGTGACGGTACTGCACACAAATTATCCCACGACGAAACAATGGCACCTTTGGGACATAGTTTGACTCTCGGAACTTAGCTCGCGGAAACTGACTCGTGCAAACAACAGTTTGAACAAGGCTTGTTTACAGGACTTGTCTTACATATTCCTCGCCTTGAAGTTTCGCATCGCTTTCATAGTCATTCTCTGTAGTTACAGTTGTCTGCCGTGATAAGACAGCGTTTTATGGAGGAAACAAAATGGTAAACATTGTTTAAACGTACACGTTGCGCAGAGAATAATAATAGACGAGAATGCCTCATTTATGTTGTTTTCAGTTTGCCTAAGTGCTTGACAGTAAAGATCTTCTCGCTGATTGAATAGACTGTACTTTATAACTTAATTTTAAGGTGAATGCGAAGAATCAAGTAATATGCGTAACAGTGTGCATCAGGGCGACTGTGTATAGTTTGTAATTTTAAAATTATCGATAGACTTTGTTATGTATTAATGGTGTGGTGATATGACTATTAAATAAGAAAATGAATTTTCAATCGTGAATTTTCGAATGTGCTTTATAAATTTTTTTATATAATATAGAAATATGATACATACAATATAATAAAATAATTTGTAACCGAAATATATAAATAAAATGTAATATAAATACTGGAAATGACAATTAGCGATAGAATATTTTTAGTTCAATCACTATTTATCATATATGAAATTAACTTAATGATACTTTGTGACAACATATGTTATTTGTCCATATAAAAAGGTTAAGAATCGCTTAATTTTTAATTAATATATAGAACTGTGTTAATAAGAAAATAGTAGATTTTCTCTTAATTAATTTGATATCAAAGAAAATAAACAACACTAGTTAAACTATTGAGATGTATTGGTAATCTAAAAAAAAATGTAACACATAACAACGAAGTGAGTTTCCGCTACTTACTTTATAATAGATTAAATGTCAGACAGTTAGAAGCGAATCTATAAATTTCTTTTCTATGTACTTATATAGTAGATTGCATGCAATGAAAAGTACATAAACGTGGTCCTTTCGTGTTTGAGGGACGTCTACAATAATTCACAGAGTAGCAATCCCCTTTCCACGATGTAATTCTTCCCTACTACCCACTTTAAAGCCTTCAACTAGACATTTCTTGGCAACTTGCCCATAATGTTCGTCCGTTTGTGAATTGTAAAACTGCATTGTGCATTTACTATAGAGATTGAACTGCGAACCATTCTTCAAATATAACTCCGAAAAATTCGATCGTACTAACTCCTTCACTTATAATATCGTGTCAGACTCGTGACGAAAATTTTAAACTGAATTTGACAAATTTAAGTGTTATTTATTTGTTTTAAATATAAATTAAATATTATTTTTCTATTAGTAATCGTTAACCTTTGGAGTCAAGTTAGACATAGAATAAATATCAAAATTTGTTTCTTTCCTAATAAATGATTAACAGTAAAATAGTTGTATCGATCGTAGTTGAAAAATAACTCATAGGGCACGGGGTTAACCATAAATATAAACGTGATCGATTTACATTTATTTATACTTTAAATATTCAAAATTAAAAGTGTATTCCAAAAAGGTGTTCTTATTTTATGTATTTTATTTAAAGGATACTAAAAGTATTTAAAAATTTTATTATAATATATTTTTGTTCATCTTTACTATATTAATCCTTTGTCCAAGAAGCAGGACTTACATTAAAAATAAATTTACTTTCACGAATGTTATAGTTTGTTGTGTTATAATACCATACCTCTTTATTTAAAATTTAATTTATTTTCACCTCAAATAAATATCTTAAGCAAACGCTTAAAACATAAAATTTAAGTATTTAATTTGATGCTACAAATTACTAAAATAAAAATACTTTACTCGTCCAAATTTGTCATTTTATATGAAATAATAATTCATTTGAATAACACAGCATCAATAACACTTGAAATATCCTTTTTCTGAAATCTATCAAACTTTACCTGGTAATGACGCTAGCTACGCCTAAATTCTGTTACGAGCTACAATATTACAAAAATATTCTAATAATTGTAT